AAACTCTATCAGGGGTGGGGAAACCTACAGCCCATAGGCCAGACACGGCCCACAACTTAATTTCATATGACCCATAATCCCATGACACGTACTGCTATGAAATTGCCTGCAAGCTATATTTATCTGTCACTGCAAGCATCTCAGTCCCACTAATACTAGAGATATATATTCTATAACTTGAAACACTTTATAATATTAGCACTTTCATTCTCACCTGCGCTCAACCTCAGGGTCGTCGCCGTTGTGTAGTGGTCAGAGCACTGGACTTGCATTAGAGATTGCCGGTTCGATTCAATTTCCCGGCACGGCAGTTGAAACATGGTGCAAGTTTCTAAAATCCCCCACGACCCCCACCACTTCTGTCCACCCAGAAGTATATAAATGTGTTCACTGCAGTGAGTCAATTGGCAGGTCTCACGTCTGGCTGGGTAAAGTGTGGATACTCCCACCTCTAACAAGATATAGGGCCAGCGTGAAAGAGGGGGTCCAAAATTCTACTCTACAGCGGCTTTCTACAATTCCTTCTCGTGGGAGGCCCTTCCGCCAGGAGTGGCATGGAGCAAGCAAATGGCAGGGTTGCACCTTTTTTTTTTTACCACCTTACCAGTAAACGGTTGCCTTTCAAGTAGTTCTGAGCACACACGGTGAACACGTGCAGTCCTAGCCCGGCCGTAGTTTATTAACAACTACGGTGTGGTCGCCTGCCGTAGCTACCGTAAAATCCAAGAGGGCCCTAGGTAAGGAAAGGGTTCCCCCCCCCCCCCCCCCCCCATCTGCTGTTTTGCACCAGAGCTTGGTGGCACGCAAGGGGTCACGTTTGGTCGTAGAACCAAGGCTGGTGGATAGCTCTGCTGAGCATTGGCGGAGCCCAGTGTGGCCCTTAAATGCCAGGCCCACACCCGAGCGATCGGCCGCGCAATCGACGCATCTTGAGCGAGTGGTTGCGCAACAAGGACATTCAGAATCAGGATATTTGTTTATACTGGAGAAATCCGATGAGCTATATAAAGCTCTTTTTTTAATTTACAGATGCCTAACGCATTTAGAATTGTAACAGCTAATCATAAATCGCCAATCGCCATCTCTGCTGTAAGAAACCGGTTGCGAAACTGCTCGCAAACTGGTTGCACATCACGAGCAATTCAGTTTGCTTACAACGAAGTTACAAAAATGATCGCACAGGCGTGGGTCCAGCATAATACACTCGTCTATTCACGTTTATGACGTTTGATTTGTTTCATCCAATGTTCTTATCCTTGATTGTTTCACATCTTTGATTCACAACTCGTTCTTTGATTTGCCAGCGTTCTGATGAAAGTGGATGTGACATTACAATGGGAATTAGTGATATCATGGACAGGACCTGCGTTGTCATAGCATGATCTCTTCATACGAGCTGTTTTGTTCATGGAGCCTTAGACCTGAGCAGTTGCCATCCACAATTTGGTATTCATAGTTTAGGTAATAATTGTGAATTACGATATTATGATTAACTGTTGGGTCACATTAAACCCTGTGTAGATTGTTTTGCCAAATCTAAACACCATAGTGGCAGAATTGTATCATTTTAAATAATAAATTACACAACTTATCTTGAAATGAGTATACGCTACAGATTAGTGTTCATTTAATATAACATGAGCTTGATGTAATACATGTGCAAAGTCACTACACATTAACATACACAGATATACATTCCCACACACATTTCATAACCTACATAACACTTGCATATGTACTGCGTACATACGTACACGTGTAACCTTTCAACAATCCACAGCTGGAAAGAGGGCATTCCCATGTCGTGCAGCTCATGATAATTACTTGACGATACTTCACCACACTAGTCAGTGTGGCTTGGTGAAGGTCGGATGCATGAATCTGGGAGCGTAGAAAGTACAGTACAACAATGGATGTTTCTGCACTGCCCTTTTTTGCCCATCATTTAACCCCCACACTGTATAGCAACCGGCTTCGCATGGTGGTGGTTCATCCCAAGAACGGTGCAGGCTCGGCCCTACTGAATTTGTGACATCTGACGAGATTGGGCTCACTCCAGCTGCTTTGCTCGTCAGCACAAATCTGGCTGTCACCTGACGAAGCCGGTTGTAATTGCTGGCGAAACGTCGTACTCGGATTGTAAATGTTGTGGCTTGGCTCTCCAACATACAACCGATGTGCTGTACTAGTGACGAATTGGCCACGTTCTGTTTACGTGACAACCCTTACTTGTTGGCTGTGTCAGGTGGTGGCGGGTTTAACGACACATTTAGATATTTATGCGACCTAACCAAAAAACCCCTCTTATAGATTATATTATGAGTTCCATAATTATCGACAATGCATAACAAACAGCCGATTCCAACATTCTGTGCGGTTATTTTTCACGTTTAACCCATCGTACTTTTTCACGTTGCGCATGCAAAGATATCTGGCACGTTAATTGTATTCAGCATCGCTGTTAAATTATACAACGTGAGAGTTCACACTTGTATCATTAATTCCCATGTGATTGTCACTGCCATTGAAAATGTGATGCTCCTGCCACATTACAATTGTTTGACTCTACGCATGCTTGGTGTTGAATGTCACTTTAACAAAAAAATATTTTTAATATGCACAATATAGATTTCTTTGTCGACATTTTTTTAAAATTCTCTTCATGTCACGACTGAATTTGCAACTTATAACCGTGTCGACTTGGTTTTACAGAAATATTTGTACCTAAATGACTGATTATATTTATGTTTTAATCTGATGAACAGAGGACGTTTTAATTCGCCACGTAATACGCTGTTAAATTTAAATGTGTAATTTAAATGATGTGCTCGTAGGCAGTGTGGCACTTAGAATGTGAGAGTTTCTACAGGGTCATCAAATATTGTGATTACTTGGTAATTTTCTACAGGCTGTCAGTAAAAACCAGACATTACTTTCTGTCGGTAAAAAGCCAGAAATTGAATTCATTAATGCCAAAAAACTCAGCACAATAGATGATGTAGTTACATTGCAAATCGTTAGTACTTAGGATATGCATTTATTGATGGGACGTTTATAGTTCAACAAAATTAAATAGATAGGAGACAGCGTTCATTAAATATGATTTTATTTTTGCACTGACTTAAGGTTCTTCCAGGCAGCACAGCTGCAAGGACACGTCTCAGTTCTTGTTCCAGTGATGGTAGAAAGTCATGTGACATTCACGCAGTTGACCGTACTTCACCACGCTGATCCGTGTGGGTTGGTGAATGTTGCAGCGAGATGCGGGACATGGCTACTTTCACTCGCCGCTGATGTTAGCCGTGGCCGTGAATTGAACTCGGGCCACCGGGTTCATAGTGTAGCGCCAAAACCACTGCACCGCCACTCCATCCCAATTGACACTTATACCAAACGATTATCATATATAAACCTTATTGCATATGGCAACAACATTTAGACATGGGTGAACACGTTTTAAGTTATTCTCACTGGTTGAGTAGTACACAATGTGGAATTGTTCAAACACGGAAGTTTTGAACATCAAGAGGGGCTCGTTAGCAGCTTAGAGTGTGTGCCACTGTATGCCACTACGTGCGTGGAGATGCGTAGCTGCCGGTAAATAAATACTACAGACATTGATTGGACAGCCCTTTCCACCGATTAGAAATACTTTTGTCCAGAGCAAACAAATGCATGCTGGAATATAGACTCTCTAGACAAATACATTGTAATGTGTCATTTTAGTTTTGGGTTGATGGCCAGTTTGTGTATTTGTTATTGCGTGTTAGCCAAACTTTTGGAATCGCAATCACTCAAATGCGTATTTATACGGCATCTAAATGCGACGGCATCCCAAAGAGGCTGTACAGAATCGGTGGGCGTGTTCATTTCACGGAGAATTAGGCCTTCCCGACATCATCATCGTTGTCCATCTCATTCGATGATGGTCTGCTCCATCTTTGCTGGTCAGCGTGTCGGGGTGCTCCCCCTTTCATGGCCGAGCGGCCCAGTCCTCCCAACGGCCAGATCCTCCCACAAGTCAGACACTTGTGCCTCACCGTAGGGGACTTCTCAGTCGCTGCTGGCTGGAGTCGCCAGTCGGTCGTAGGCAGAGGAGAAAAAGAGTCGAGCCTGGAGTTGATCCACAGGCGTTGGGTTTGATTACTTGTCGTGGCAGCTGACGCTTCGGTGCATCTATTGCAACGGCTAGCAAATGTTAAGATATGCCTGGCTTGAAATGAAGTGAAGTGTTATATCCATAGCTCCTCACACTCGTGTAGGAGCAGAGATGCAACGTGTACAATTTACATGAGGGTATTGACCATTATTTTCCTAAACCGCACAGTGTTAAATTTGGTGACCCTGTCAAAGTTCTTACTATCGTTTTTTTTTTCTTCTAGGCAACATTTTCAATTAAAGCATTGACTCAAGCGAGTCCCATTTTTAACATGGCACCCCGACACATTTCACGGTAGTACCGCGCTTATTGTTCGTCGGCAACGACACCTCCCGATGTTTTGCCGCCCACTGAATTCGTATTCCCGTAGGAAGCTTCCCAGTGAAGCGCGGCGAAACATCGGGCGCGTGGCAACGACCCCGAAAACGCGTCGGGAGGGCCGTGCAGCACAACCGCCGGAAAACCTTCACGGCGGCGTTGCATTTTTAGGGAGCTACGCTTGACTGGTGACGATGGACGTAGGGACGAGCGTGTGAAACGACTCGTCCGGACGTCCTTCCCCTTTCCAATCGGTTTTCCGCTGCTTGCTTGAGAAGCTGATGATGCTGGCGGTGGCCAAGCAAGCTGTAATGAAACCGTTTTTCTGTATCATACGAGCCAAATTTCCTGCGTAATCCCTCGTGACCCATGTGTGTGTGTGTTGCCGTTGCAGGAGAGGGGTTTTACACGTGGCTCGAAGGTAATGACGGGGCTGTAAGCGCGCCACCAGGGCAGGATAGGCTGAGCGAGCCTCCTCTCGAACAAATAATATAAATCAGATTGATTAGGGGTCAGCCGGATGGTTTTTGTGGGCAGTTAGATGGCTTCGTGGGTAGATAGATGGTTTTAGTGATCGCTAGCTAAGTCTCTCCAAGTGCATTGTTTCGTGGTTCAGATCTAACTTCATTCATGGCATGAATTTCAAACAAGTGCGCCGTCTGTTGTGCCTAGGCATGACATTTTTTTAATGCATTTCTCTATCATAGAGAATTATTGCGTGCCAGCTTGTAGACCAGGAATTAGAATATTTATTTGTGTAGCTACGTGGTTGTTGGCAGGAAGCAGCGCAACAAAAACCCATTGTTGTGCAGCACTTCTCTATTCCCACGTCTTTGCTGCCTGCCATGACCCATCCTGCGCTGACCAGCGTGGTGAAGTATGGTCAGTTAACCCCCACAATGCTCCGTTGACACGTGATGTGAAAGTGACACATCGCACTTATAACTACATTCTATCGGAGTCCTGGTTTTCAGACGAAATAAAATAATTTTTACAAATTTAACCATCTCAATACAGCAGTAGTTTCAGTGTAGCACTGTGGGATTGTTGTCCTTCCGCCGCACCTCCGATGAGCACAGTTGGGCTACGAACGGTGCGAAAGAAGTTCAACGTACACTATCTAGCCTCGTTCACGATGTTCACTGTAATTCTCAGCGATCGGTGTGACCGTGAGAGAGGGGAGGAAGAGGAGGCTAGGCCCAGTGCTGTGTCCTGTGCTGGTGCGCGCTTACGCCCTGCGATTCATTTACAAACCCGTGCCACACAATCCCCCCCTTCTTGCTCACCCCCCACACCCCCCCTTCGCGCGTGCCTCACCTCGACAAGCGAGCGGCAGGACCGTGGAGACCGGCGACGCGGCCCAGCTTTTCGCGTGGTTTTGCCGCTTGTTGCAAATGTTTCGCGGTTCGAACCCTGCGGCCTCCCCTTGATAATGTTGCCGCGTTGTCGACCCTACGCATGCAACGCCGTCTGCTTCGCATTGGATGTTACGTTTCGCCGTTGTGTTGTTTGAACAAAAAAAAATAGGCTGTGTCTGCCACTGTCATCATTCAGATCTGACATTTTGAAAACGTACCTTTCACAGGACCTGTTGCTCTATAATAGGTGTGTATTTGATGTTTTAACATCTGAACACCTGTATTATGCCATCTTGATACTGATAACAGGGTCCCGGAGATAAGATTAAAAAAAAAATGTACTCAGTTGGGACAAGATGCAAACGTCGCCCTCTACTGCGAGACCACTGCAGACATGAACGCGGCGCCGTCGCGATAGCCTTCACGGTATAAGGATGGCTCGAATACCAAACGTACAAATGACTTAACATGACTCGTCGGGCTTGTGGGGTCCACCGCATTGGTCACTGCTGCGTGAAGCCACAGCCATGTCTGCTCACGAGTGCCACAGGTCGCCGCAGACCGACAATCCTGGTCAACGTGACGAAACACTTGGGGTGGAGTGACCGAACATCTTCCCGAGAGCTCAACTGGGCTTGTGCTGCTTTTAAAATGCTGACAATGTTTAACAATGCAAGATGCCGGTTTCAGTTTTTATTATTTTTTAGCTTATCCACCCAGAGTCTTATCACTCTTACACAGGAGGGTCCTGCCGATTTTTCACGGAAGGGGGCGATGATTTCCCGCGTAGATTCCAGTTGAGCAGCGTGCGTGACTTGCGACTTGCAATCTAGAAGTGGTAGTTGTATATAAGGTCCACGCTGTTGGCAGGAGCAGTGTGGATTGATGGCCCACGAAACTTGTTTGATCACCTGGCCGGTTAATGGAAATCATTGGAGACAATCCCCTGTGTAAAGAGCAGCTGTTGCCACAACCCCCCACTCACCCTTTCTGTGCTGATAGGTTATATGCAATGGCTGTTGGCCTAGAGGATATTGCACTTTGAGGGTTCCTCACGGCAAGATATAATCACAACATATGGCAAATATAACCTGAGTGTGGACAGCCCAATTGATAAGTCCAATAAGCCTACCCTTTACGGAGTACATTTTATGACAATTAATTGGTTCCCACCATCTGGTAGCTTATAATGAAAGTTGCTCACCACCATGAGACATTATTAATCCACTGCTGGATGAAGGCATTCTGAAGGCGCTGCGACTTCTCGCAATTCTGAGAAGTAATCACCTAGCACCTGTGCATGAACTGATTTCATTGCTCCATCTCCTCGGTGGACGTATTTGTGGACGCGTTCTGCTCCTTGGCTGCAACTACGTCAGTTGTTTCAGGAGGCTTGGGATCCTATGACAACGGTTGCAAGAGTAGGCGGTTGTGTTGTGATTATTTTTGTATCCAAATGCAAAATGGAACCGTTTTTGAATATCGTTTGCTCCTTGTTAATGTTGACATTTGTTTCGGCTAATTGCTAAAGTCGAAGTCGGGAGGGCGGAAATTAGGCAGAGGTTTTATTGGTACGATCGTCTAGGTCCCGACTAAAATTTCGAGTCTCCGCGTAAAGTTTCAAGACTTCTGCCCAACTTCCTGCGTTTTCCCGCTGCTGCTGAAACGGCCTCCGTTGCACGCTCATGATGGATTTGCTGTGGTTCATAGGTCTGTGTCTGGAGAAGAGGGTGTTCTACCGTCTCATCTCGGGTCTCCATTCAAGTATCAACATTCACTTGTCTGCCCAGTACCTCGTGGAAGGTAATTCATTTTCACCGTCGTTATACGCTTTGGTCAGCTACAAATATAAATGATAAATAACTCAAGACTTGTAACGTGCGCCGCACATAGTGGTCGCTCGCTCTCGAAGGGTGATAACAACTCGGGCATCGCACGCAAGTGGGTAAGGCAGTAGCCACGTGTTGAGCCGGTGCCAAGTTCCACCCCAAGCTCTGTGGTCCTCTATACGTGAAGGAGGTTATCGGCCAGTGAACGAGTGTTTACACGTGGGAGGAAACCGGAGGACCCGGCGAAAATCCATGCGTGCGAGTGGACAACACTCCATGTCATACAGATGTAATGGGTGGAATTCCTACTTGCTGTACTGGCTTGGCCTGGCCAGCCAGGGTATGGCCCCTCGACGCCCACGGGAAGGGAGCTTCACAACATTAGTTGACCAACCGTGCTAATCGCACCTTCGATTGGCTCTGTTGGCTACGTACGGTGTGAAAGAAGTTCTACATAAATACACAGCGCCGGAATACAGGCCACCTGCAGCAGCATAACCACCACCCAGATGACGGAGCTGGCATCGTTCATTACAAAACACATTCCATTTGATGCCTATGGCACGGTGTTAATTTTGTGAACGAAATGAGTAAAAAAAAAAATTTTAGTCAACAATGACCAGAGTGGACGAAAATTACATCAAGCGTGAGGACTGCCAGCTAGAGACCGACGTGTGACTGACTACGACGAGACGAGATTAACAAGCCTGACTGAAGGCGCAGACCGATACAAGCACGGTAATTGTCTATACGTGCTCATACAAAGATTGACTGTATTCATCAATTGGCTGACTTGACCGTATTGGGGAGAGGAGGTGAAAATAGGGCGCTCCTCACACCAACACATAGAGAGAGAGCATTACCACTTTGAAACTAGAAAAATAACATCTGCACACCTTCCCTCTCCTCTCCCCTAAAAATACCACGTTTCCAATCGTTTCCCCTTATGCTAGTGGGGGGGGGGTCAGTGAGCCCTAATCGCTCTTTCCTCTCCTTCCACCGTGGGCACCTGACTGCGGGCTTGTTGTCCGTGAAATAATTGTACCCCTTTCGCCCTAGCGCTCGTGCTTTTGTAATGGGCTCTTGTTCAATATATATAGTTTAAAACAGTACCTGTTTTTAGTCCACGTGCCACAGCAGAAATCGGTACCAGCTGGAGTAGCAAAATCTTAGTGGTGGCCACGTGTTTTTTATGGTCTGTAGGGAGTAAAATATTTGATAACGCGCTCATTTCAAACGGTCATCGCGCACACATCGCTGTTACCGGCCACATTTACGAAATGGTGAAGCCGCTAAAGCTCCCGCCCGCACTACCTGTCGGTTTGGTGGCCCCACCTGTGAAACGTCCGTCGCTACCGGGGCTCGCAGACCGTCATTTTGTCTTGAATCCTCTCCCGGCAGACGGCTACAGCAAGGCCCACTGGGCGCCCAACGCCAATGAGTTCCGCAAGCGCTTCGACCCGTCGACGACAAGGGGCCAGGGCACGCGCTGGCTACGCAACCTCTACTTCCTCTACCTCATCGAGCTGCGCGCCATCTCCAAGGTGGCGCCCTTCTTCCTGCGGCCCAGCAGCAACCTGTACACGGGCAACGCCAAAGAGGACCACCAGACCAAGGAGCTGCTGCTGCAGATCCTGCAGCTCGCCAAGTGAGTACGGAGCCTTCCAGATTATTCTCTTTTTTTTTCTCTCCCGCTTGCGCCATCCGCGGCCGTGCCGCGGTCCGTGCCAGCGCGGCTCGCGGAAGCACGGGTTCCTTTTTTTTTACACGCTTTTTATTAACTCTGTTGTCGTTGTTGTTGTTGTTGTCATTGTTGTATCCTCAAATCTTGTAACTCAATTTTTACCCACTTCCCAATGTGGTATCGACTGCAAACTTGGTATACTTATGTCATACTGATGACAATACTATATTCTATCATAAAAAAAAAAACATTTAAAAACATTTTTTATATGTTATGTTTCGGCTTGGCTCTAATTGTCCACGGTCAACCTACGTTGGCTGTAAATCACCACGGTCCCCTTACGTTATGTCAAGCTTCGGGGCCACTTCCTGGAGTCGTGGAGTTCTTCCATTACAAGTACGGTACATTTTATTAAAGCGTGTTTAAAAAAAAAGTTTTTTAATATTACTTTTTTACTCCCGTTCTTTCGTCCCTGCACTGGCTCCCAGTAAAGTACAGCAGAGGACTTCAAGATTCTGCTTCTCACGTTTAAGCCCTTGAATGGGCTGGCTCCCGAAGTATCTCGCCGATCTGCTCAAGTTTCATATACCACTGCGAAAACTTATATTGGCTGAGTTATGGTCTTCTCATCATTCAATTCCAATGTTTCTGTTTTAACCAGGGAGTTCCCGATGCATTTTGACGAGACCGCGATGTTTTCCGGTAACGAGAAGGAGGCGCAATTACTCAAGGTGAGGCGTTGACGTTTATCTTTCCGCATTTGCGGTTTTGGGGCAATATTTTCCATGATTAAATTCGAGGTCGTAATGCACGATCCCGCACAAAACAAAGACAAAAATCCCCCGTATAGCCTAAACAGACGGTTTGGGCAAGTGCTGTTAGCGATTACCGGGACGGCACACGAGGGGGTGGATGGCCAACACCACTGTGGTGATGTTTACATACCGCAAGAGGTACTCATTTGAGACTGAGTCGACCTAGGGGACGCCCAGCACTAGTTCAGATAATCGTCACTGGTGTTGGTCGTGAGCGGAAATCGAACCCAGGCCGCCGGCTTCGTAGTGCAGCGTTCTAACCACTCTACCGCTCCCTCCTACACACACACATACCCTTCAATATGTGGATTCAGTTCGTGTACAGCTCTTACGTAGGTTGCCTGCCAAAGTCAATGCACTGGTCATAGGAATCGGGGAGCCTCGATGCCCTTGCCCTAAAGTGAGGTTAGTATTGTGAGCGCCTCCACCGTACGTTACGGGGGAACAGAGGGGTTAGTTGGCAGGCGTGCCATTTTCAACGTGAGCGTGTTACGAGTCCGTGATGTGGATGGAAAGTTACCCAGGTCGACCCCATTGCAGCATAGGCCACCTACTGGCAGCAGGCTTGCTTGCCTTTATCCAGCAGTGCATACATCATGGCTGATGATGATAATACTGTGTGGTGGCAGCAGGGGGGATTGTGGTGGAGCGAAACATTAAACATCTATGTCGTGGCTGATGGTGACGATGATCGTGATACCAGATGGAGAGAAAGAGGGAGGTTGTGGGGAGCAGTCGACAGACGAGTGTTTAAGACGGATAGTCTTCGCACTCATTACACACTCAAAGTGCCTGCCACAAATGAACCACAATACCTTGCTGATCTCGTCAAGAAGCATGAGCCATCTGGTCATCCTCGCAGCGGCTTTTGGCCATCGAGCAAAGACGTTCACCGCATCGCGCGCTTTTAGATGCGCTTCTGCCGCCGTCTGCAATTCTCTTCCGATATTAGCAAACCACTGGAGCTATGCACATTTAAATCTAGATTGAAAATTAATTTATTTCGAACTGCTTTTTGTCCTTCCCCCCCCAGACTTCCGATTAGCACGGTTCGCCATGTACGGCCGCGAAAGAAGTGCAACATACATACGTACACGTGGATGGCAAGTGAAGTGGACACGTTGCCGCGCACACTTCCGCGACAGTGTGGCAGCGGCTGCCGCTTGCTTCCGCGGTGGTGACGTTTATGTTGCCTCTGCCCCGTCTGTAGGAGGAGTTCCGGTTGCACTTCAAGAACATCTCGCGGATCATGGACTGCGTCGGCTGCGACAAGTGTCGCTTATGGGGAAAGCTGCAGGTAAATCTTCTTATTCTTTGGTTCTTTCGGTAAAGTCACGTAGAATGAGAATAAAATAATAAATTGATAAAATAAAATAACACAATAATATTCTCACGACGTTTCGGCCACAACACAAGCGGCCTTCATCAGGTGAAGGGGGCGAGACTGTCTGGTAGGACAGCGCTGTCCTACCAGACAGTCTCGCCCCCTTCACCTGTGTTATTTTATTTTATCAATTTATTATTTTATTCTCATTCTACGTGACTTTACCGAAAGAACCAAAGAAGATGAATCATTGCAGTCACGAAAGCTTTAAATCGAAATTTAAATCTTCTTAGTTGGGTGGTTTGTACGAGCCTCCAACCTTGATATGTGCTTGCTTAGCAGCGCTTTTATCCTGTAGACCTCGAAACAGAACGGTGAGTGTTTCCGTACAGACAGAGCATGTCAAGCATGCACAATAGGGTTATAATACCTTTGTCGAGCTGTGCATTTGACAAAATGGCTGTAAATAATAGCAGTTACTCGAATGGAATCTGCATAGCGGTTATCGCCCCCTACAGCAAAAACATGAGTCGTGAGACTGTGTGTAGCAGTCTTGGTAAGCAAGCCTGATCGCACCTCCGATTAGCACGGTTGGCTGCGTACGGTGGGAAAAAAGTTGACACGCGCATACACGTAATATGAACACTAAAAAATATATACATTTCATTGCTTTGTTCTTTCTCGGCTCTCCTTACAGACGCAAGGGTTGGGCACGGCGCTGAAGATCCTGTTCTCGGAGAGGGAGATACGGAAGCTGCCGAAGCAGGGGCCCTACCCTCCCTTCCAGCTGACTCGGCAAGAGATCGTCGCTCTCATCAACGCGTTTGGGCGGTGAGGCCTCCACTTCCAGCTTCCTCCCAGCCTGATCCTAACCCTGCAGCAGGGGAGAAGGGGAGCCTACGGCCTAAGGGCCAGACACGGCCCGCTGCTTAATTTTTTATGGGCCATCGGCTTCACGTAGCTCGTAGCTGCTTTCATCAAAGGCCCAGAAAAAATATATTTGTCCATCGCCGCAAAGCATCTTTCAACCGCCCTTAGCGGGTACTGGAGGGGAGTATTTTTGACCTGGCAATACCGGTTTTCTTTTATCACGTTCAGTCACTTGTATTACTGCAAGAGGCCCTTATAGTGACAAACTAAGTAAAAAATAAAAGTTGAACGTGATAATTTCTTGTCCTGTCCTTGGCGGCTAAGCTGGGATTGTCAGCTGGCTACACTTCAGAGCCCAGTTCATAATAATTCACATTTGTAAGTATAACTGTCAACCCCTTATCAATGCCTATCTTATTACAGACCAATTCAGACCTTATTGGTCACCCCTTGTAATTCTCAACGTTCATCCTACAAAGTCCCATCACAAGGGAGAAACACAAAGAAATAGACAAAAATCATGTTTTTTTGCCCGTATTGAAACGGCTGTATGCCGTATGGAACTGAACTCAATTTCCCTTTACCATGTAGGTTGACAGATGTGTATGTGTAAGGCGCATTTCATCCGTAGATCCCAATGCGCATCTCGTGTATGGAAAGCAGGAAATAAACAGAACCTGCAGGGTAAATGGCCAGAACTAGGGGGTAAAGGCCAGTTTAAAGAGGTGAGTTTTCAAGATAGACTTAAATATATCTAACGACTCCGAATGTCTTATCAGCAAAGCCAAAGCCTTCCAAAGCTTGGGAGCTGCACTGGCAAAAAGCCCGATCACCCCAGGAAATGAACCTTGACCTCGGAGTACTTAGAAGGCGGCGATCCGAAGATCTCAAATTATTCTGTAACCTATACTCGAGTGCTATTTTAATTTTGATTTAAAGCTTTCGTGACTGCAGGGATTCATATTCTTGGTTCTTTCGGTAAAGTCACGTAGAAGGGAAACAATAAAATAATAAAAATATAAAACAATAAAATTCTCACGACGTTTCGACTGCAACACAAGCAATCATCATCAGGTGTGAAAACCACAGCAAGAAAATTTGAAAAAAGTGGCGGGTGTCATGAGAATTTTATTGTTTTATATTTTTATTATTTTATTGTTTCCCTTCTATGTGACTTTACCGAAAGAACCAAGAATATGCTATTTTAATTTTTAAAAAATTGCATGGAACATTACCCCTAAACATGTATAAAATTGGCGTGGAGCCTTTGCTCACCTGCTCTTCAGAATAGAGTTGCAAAGTTGATGTTTTCAGCCTGGTTACAAATTACTGCATAAAAACACCCATCGTACTGAATTCGATTTTTCACTTTATGTAGCCCATTTCAGCTTTAAGGATTACTTCTTTGGTTTTTTGTTGCTGTGTGATAAGCACTATGCAGGGCATATAAACCCTGCTGGCCTAGTATTGGTAAAAGAAAGGATAATGGGGTGACTTCAGAAGTAGTTCTTTGACATTTGACATCTTCTTCTGGGGGGGGGGGGGGTGTGGTCTCTGACACAATGTGGTACACTTCTCGCTACGAGAGTTCCAAATGGGAAAAAAAACAATCTCATGTCGTGACGTCAACATTTATGAATAATTAATTTGATGCCCCCGTAGCATCACAAGAGAGGGGGATAAGGCTGAGGGGCAGATGTGCCTTTGCTGGAGCCAAATATTTGCGTGATATCTCCTGTTTAAATTTTGCGTGCAAGTATGCCTCTGCGACAAATCTCATGCTACACGTGGAGCAGGCTCGCAGGTTTAGCGCAGCAACGTCAACGTAGCCCAGGGGTGGGGAACCTTTTTTTCCGCCAAGGGCCATTTGGATATTTATAACATCATTCGCGGGCCCATACAAAATTCTAAACTAAAAAATTAGCCTGTTATATTTGGTCAAACATTTTATCAACTCGCCCCTAATGCGATGGCTGGAACTGCTTCTCTTTGGCGAGGCGTGTGATGATGTTAGCCGGTATTGACGATGTTGTCGCTACTCGCAACTGCTTTTCCAGGTTTGCTCATAGATTTATTGAATTTCGATTCCCGCCTGCGGTTTCCTGGCAGGGCCAGAGACCAAATGATTTGGCGGGCCTCATACGGCCCGTGGGCCGGACGTTCCCCACCCCTGCCGTAGCTGATAACAGCATTGTGGTTTTTCTATTTTGATGTGTAATTGTCACTGCTGTGTCCCGCCTAATTACTCGCTTGAAGCCGCTTGCTTTTGTTGCCGTGTGTTTTGTGTTTCCTTTTTTGTTGTTGCGCGATGAGCAGAGTGTCTACCAGCATCAAGGAGTTGCAGAACTTCAAGGAAATCTTGAAGGATTCCATGTGAACTCCGCCTCCACCACAGTTGTGATTTTCAGGACTACTCACCGCACTATTTATTCTGGTCAGAAACTGAGAATATTCTTGCCCCTCGCCCTCGTAATTTTAAAACAAAATACGAGCACCATTCGGCAGGGATTGTGATATTTCCATTAAAAGGGGGATGGACCGGTGAGGCATGTCTGATTAAAAAAACACAAAAGGAAGAAATAATAAATGATTGATACAGGTGTACAAAGTTACTTTCCTAAGATGTTTAACCCCCTTGATGCGGTGTTGTGCAGGGGTTATAGTTTACATTGTGCTTACTGTGCTTGTTATATGTGACTGGGAGCAATGAGAAAGGGAAAAAAAATGCAAAACAATAATTGTAAATTTAAGTTTCTACTATATATACTGTAATTGAATGGCCTTATGAATATTAATGCTTCAGTAGCATTCTGTCTCGGAGCGACGATGTCTTGGGACATTTTTTTGACGAATGAAAATGAAGTGAAAATGTATTCTCCAAAATATCGCAAAATGTTTGAACATTGATGGTTGTTTGAGAGCGGTTTCTTTTCTGGTTGTCACGCCGCGTGCCCTTGCCATGCATTGTCACTTGTGTTTGCCACCTTTGAGACCTTTTTGGCATGCCCGGCAGTTCTGTGTTGTACAAATTACCCATGTAAAATCGTAAAAATTGCACTCCACGTCGCGACCTAATAGAATATTCTTATTGTCAAAAACGTAGGAAGGCGTTCACGGTTAACTATTAAGGACCAAACCCAATTACATAAAACATCTTATTGGATTACTTATCCCCCAAGATGCAATGTTTTTGCCACTGGGAACTGAAAACATGGACACATTTTTCACGGTGATCTCGTGGCGTCTCGTTTGATGCGCAACATTTTGTGGGTACCATTTATTATGCTGGGGAGGTGGTGGAGAAATGCCAAATTGTGAATCGATGGCTCAAATATTCCATAATCCTTATCGCGTAATTCCTGTTCTGTCACTTTGATTTAAATTCAGCAGTTTGGCCAATTGATGGACAAATTGAACGCGAGTGTACGTACAGGCCGTTTGTCGATGCACCGCAGGTGAGAGCCTCCTTACACCATGCAGCCTGTGGCGGCGGTGGGGGGGGGGTATTTGAACTTCACCACCCTGGTCTGCGCAAGTCGGTGAAGACGGGGAGCATATCTGTCAAAAAAAATAGTCCTCAATGACCAAGACGAAAATGTTATGTATTTAGAATTAGATACATTTCATTAAATCAGGAGATTGAGCTACACATGACATTCCATCCGATCACAGATCAGGAAATCCACTGAAAACAATGGATAGATTGCCCCACACCGGCATTGGGCAGCTCCCAGTCAACCTGGAACATTGGGCCAACATTGGTGGAACGCTTCCAACCACATGTTCAACGTTGGCCCAACGTTGCGTGTTTAACTGGGTGAAGGAAAAACTATTCTGTTTTGGAAAATGGAAATGTTATTTGACATCATCATCAGCCCAGCAGCTGCTGAATGAAGGCCTTTCCAAGCGGTCACCATCCCACAGTTACACTTTTGATTCGTACTAAATTGACGTTAACCCTGTGAGTGTCCAACCACTGCTGACAAACGAAGGCTTTTGAAAAATAAAATCGGGCATTTGATAACCATGTCATCATAAAATTGGATATTTCGGGCCGGTCAGACACAGAATCTGGTGTATAGGTTTGACACCTGCGTAGGCTTTCGCAGTTGTGCCGTGTGGCCCTGCGATGTGTTTTTGGGTCTGCTGCCCTGATGTACAACTTATCTCTCCGCATGCGGGGGGGAGCGAAATGGCGGACGTCGTGGCGAATAACACGCAGGCTTCACTTCATTTAACACTTTGTTTTGGCCGCGACACATTTTGGCAATACAAATCGCAGTGCGTGATGCTTGTGGAATGCACGGCACACACGACATCGAGTTGATGGGTCAGCGGTGGAGAAAACTGGTAGTAATTAGGGGTGTGAGCATGAATGCGTTGACTTGTCTGACATTGCTTCCCACAACATACGGAGTCGTAGTATGGGCATGTTGTAGTCCGCCGCCTCGCGTGATTCTTTCGCTAAATCTCGGTTTCGTCTGCACGTGGAAATTGCTGAGGCTTTTGGAACCATGTACCGGCTGTCACGTAATTATTAAGATTGAGGCCATGTGCATGTTGTGAACCCGACCGTGTGTGCCGTCCATACCTGAACAGGTATGTTTTGCATCCGTTGATATTCATGTTTGTGTTTTAAACGATACAAGCAGCAGAAGAAAAATCAAGGCCAACCCGTTAATTTTTTTTTTTATATATATAATAAGCTTTCGATGGAAATTTTCTGAATAAATGTTAGTGCAGATGATAGATTTGTAATTAACAAACAGAAATTGACAGTTTCGGAACATTTGCCCAATTTTAAAACGCTTCATGTAATCCTAAAGTACGCCCATCATCAGTGTGTTAAGGAATATTATTTGCGTTTATTTAGTGCTTAAAATACATCGTTCAAAAGCGCTTTGATATTAGAGGTTGTTTGATTAAAGATGTAAAGCTATATGTTATAAATAAACATACTTTGAATAACCAAAGCATGTGGAATTATAACATTACTTTTAATCTTTGAATAACCAAGGTATGTGATAACTACAATATAGCATAAATTTATACCACCCATATGCTCATTAACTTTAATTTGTCATTCCTGCAAGACATTTGGAATGTTGACATTGCAACTTGCGACATTGGTTCCGTACGGTCGTTGGATTTCGGTGAAAGCATCCGAGACTGAATGAGCCTACAATGGAGAAACGTCCCACACACCAACCTGAATGGGCTGCCTTGTTACCATTTCACAGTCTTGGACACATGCAAATGACGCGCCACCATCGATACTGTAAATGCCTAATACTGCACACCTTCCGTTTTGGAACCTTTGGTTAATACATTGTTCACATCCTCACTGTTTTAGCTTTGTGGTAATTAATGTCAAAAAGTGATTGGGAAAAAAAGTAGATTGTTTAAACCTAAATATGAAAATGTAAAAAAATATATGCATCGTGGGTGAATGCAATAGCATGTTTGTACTTTATTTCATTGATGTTTTGTAATTTTGAGGGGTTTTTTTTTCTCTCATGTACGTAAAGCCAAAGGTGGACAGAAAATTATAAATAGCAGGGCATGACAATATTCTTCCAAATCTACGATCCAGTCCTGGTGAGGGGCATTGGAGTGCTCTCCACGAGTCTCAACGACCAACGGGAAGAGAAGACCTAAGAGCAGAAGACGGGATAATGTCAAGGCAGACCTTTGGGAGGTCACCACGCAGCAGCTACGGGAACTGGCGGAGGGTACAAAGCACTGGCAATGAGCTGTGGTGGTGGTGGTGGTGGCATCTTGATCCGTCTCAAAATTTGTTTTGTTAATACGAACCTTCACCCGGCATGGTGCAAGTTAGGACTCGTTTGATGTGAGCTCCTTACAAATCCTGATCCGATTTTATTGGCATGTGTTACTCTTAAGAAATGCAGTATGCGGAAACAATTTTGGCTAAGTGTAACCTTTGAAATTGTTTATTTCAATGAAGGAATTCTAAAAGGTATTGGCAACCTAATGCTAGGTTTATTTCGGAGCGCTGTCTGAATCGTAGGAGTTTATACGGCACGATTAATAGCTGCAACATTTAAAAAAATTACATAAGGAGCGTGCACATTTTTTTATTTGATATTTTTTACCTTGGATGCAAATACTTGGTTTTGACAAACTCTACCCCCCAAAAAACCCTTATTTTGTAGCCATCATTGGTTTATATTTTATAACGGTAGTTGCTTAGTCTACGCTTGTGGTGACGAAAATTACGAATCGATGCATAATTGGTTATTTACAGCAAAAAAAAATTCCCCAAAAGAATGTTTAAAAAAATGTATTCACTAACAGCGCATCACAGCAGTCTCGCAAGATTACATTGGGCAAATTATTCTGAAGTTTGTTTCAGTAGGCCTTATCTACAACAAGGGCACACCACCTATTCCTTTGCAACGAGTGTGCATCTCGTGTCAAACCGATATGTTCATTCCGAAGCGATGGATGAAGCTCAATTTAATTAAGCAAAAAAATGCAGACTATGGTTGTTATTGTGCAGTCATTGGGAAACTCGGATGAGACCACGAATCTGCTGCACTTGAATTTTATTAACCATGGGTGGCTGAAACTAGGATTACAACCTAGGATCTCAGTGGTGTCAGACCCAGTGCCCTGAATCACCCCCCCCCACCTCATGAGCAATCTGGCCACTTCATGGTGTAGCGAAACTTGGATTCGTGCAAATTCACGGTTCCGCATCGTCATACATTCTCTTATCTTGAGAGTAAAAGACATGAGCAGCAACTTGTTAGATGGCTGTTGTTGCGTCACTACACTATAGTGTAATAATACTCTAAGAACATGTCTGAAGGGAATCGTAAATGCATGCAGATTTGTAATTGATGCGCGACTTATACCTTGATTTGAGCAACAATTTGTATTTTTCTCTCCACCATCGGTTTCTTTATTATTTCAGTCATTTGGGTTATATACTTTGTACAGAAATGATATCAAAATGTTTTAATTGATGTTCTTCAATGTGTGAATTCCTTAATAATTCCAAGAACGAGTTGCTCCATTTCATTTTGCTTGAGTTTGCTTTCTGTCTCCGCTGTTCGCTTTTTTCCCCCCCAAGCTACCACTGAAAACGTGTCGCACCGTGGTGGTAGGGGGACTGCCTTTGCGTCTTTAACCACGTGACCTGTATCGTGCATCTTCTTCGCACACGTGGAGCACGTGATCTTATTTTTTCTCTCTCACCACCTGTGTTTTTGGAACGGGTTGCATACCGATTTGCCCAGGTTCAGTCCTCGACTCGTGTTCGTAACTTGATTCGTTATCACGCTCGACCTTTAATCCAACAGAGCTCGTCGGTTCACGCTACCGACGAGGCAGCGGAAGCAACGGTGTGATTCATTTTTCTTTAAATCGCCACCACCGTTGTCCACCGAGCCATTATAAATGGGTCCACGGAACTTGGTTCCGATCGGCAGGGTCGCCTGTGGTGGGGTAGAGTGTGGGTACTACTCCCCACCACTTTCAAGCCGTCTGGCTAGCATGGGAGGCTTGGCAAAATATTCTCGAGAAGGGCTCTAGAGGCACCGGTAGTGTGGTGTTGACCGAGCACTTACAGGGCTGTACCTTGACCTTCATTGTTTACTTTAGCTATTGAAACGAGTTTGTGGTTGTGGCAAGCCACGTGTAATGCGACTGCTTTGCATGTAAACCATGCAAAAGTAGCACGGGTGTAACACCGGCCATTTACTCAACAAGTGGCCCGGCTCAACGGTTTGCAACAGCTGTGCAAATATAAAAAAAATCGTGCAGTGAATAGAATTATTGCAAAGGCTTGTCAACTGTCCCGGATTTCCCAGGATCGTCCACTTGTCGAGCTGGCTGCTATCCTGGGAAAGTGGGACATTCATAGTTCTGATGTTGAGTCCTGTAACGATAATGCACCACTCAAGACGATGCATTTGCATGTAGGAGTGCTCCCCTCTTCCGGTATTTTGAGATCAAATCAAATCACAAGTGCATTTGGCATTTGCGCCGTTAGTATAGCGCAAGGCTATCGCGGATGCACAGTGTTGCATAGATTGGTAGAGTCTGCAGTAGTTCCATATAGTGGGATACGATAGAGTAATGTAGCCATGTAATAGTTGCTCTCTCGAGATATATTCTGCTTCCTGCCATGGTTTGCCCTGGTTCTTGTACCTCTAAAGGTGGCAATCTTGCTCATGGGTGCAACCCAGATCTATTTCGGTGAGACTGGAGTCACGGATAAGTTAATTCCCACTAACATCGCTTGGTGTCTCGGGCGTCAGTTGGTTTCAATTAAACTCAAATGTGGTGTTCTTTAACATTTCATCCCCAGGATTTGCTGCCTCTTAAGTTGTTGATATTTACTATTCTTGTTTGCAGCAGCAGCCTCTTGTGCTTGAATATTGTATTTTATGTGAGCAGGATTATTGTTGATTAAATACATTTTCCTCAAACCAGCTAGTAGTGTTATTAACTTCATTGTGTGGGGGGGGGGGAGACATATTTTATCGCCTTTCTACCCATTTATGTGAAACAAAAAATGTGAAACTTGTGGCTTTAGAGGTCGAAAGGTCTGCTTTCCAACTAAGGGAGGAACCATATACTAATATAGAACTTAGATAACCTCTAGACCAGCATGGGGCTCATAGACTAACATGGAACCCGTAGACTAACGTGAATCGTTAGACAAGTATCGGATCCATAGACTCACATGGAACCTTAGACTAGGATGACAACTGTAAACTAGTACGGTACAGGATTATAGACGAACAGAACCTAAAGACTAGCATATAACTCATTGACTAGCATAGGGAAATATAGGCGAATAGTAAACGTATGTTTCACACCTCCGATTATCACGGTTGGCTACGTACGGTGCGAAAGAAATTCTACATACAGTATTAGCATAGGACCCATAGGCTAACAGAGAACCCATATGTGTAGTAACATCAACATGCAGTGCCGGCCCTCGAGAGGTACGGCGTGCGGTGTCACGACATCGCGGATACCACAAGGGTGTGGGTGTAGTACCGCCCCTATAGAGGTCCGGTGAGCGCTGATTGATAGCGCTGGATGGCACCACGCTTGGCGTGCAGTGCCAGCCCCTACAGGACAGGGTGTGGGAGTGCCGGCCGTAGGAATGAGGTTATTAAAGGCCATGGCACGCTGGTTGACCCGAGAGGGCACGTGACCAGTTAAGTCTACAAAGGGGCCCTAAGTGGGGGAGGGGTCACGTGGTTGGGATCGAGATCCTTCCCGAGGATTCTGGAAGGTGGTCGTGGCCAAGGGCGGAGCCATTCACGCAGCAGAGACCAGGGTTGTTGTTCATCCTGGAAGAAACCTTCGTCCACGTTCTCCGTTCAACGAGTCTCAAACACGTAAACCTGGACCCCAGTTGTGGTCCCCGATCCGTAGTAGCTAGTGACGTTGTAATTAGTGCAGTTAGCCTGGTGGTGACCACCAGGCTAACTACACTAGTTACTACGTCACTAGTACTAGTAGTGCTACGTACTACATCACTAGTACTAGTAGCTAACCTGATGGTGACCACCATAGGTTGTTATTCTGTTCAGGGGAAGTTACCCCGTATTTTGGAGTTAAATAAATATGTTGCCTCCAAGGCTACGTCTGCGACTCGGTTGAACTCGCTACATATGTACAATACTAAAATAAAACCTATGGAAGCTATAGTCTCGTACGGGGCCCCATATGTTAACATAGGAGCCAGTGGAACAGTTGTCGATTGTGCAGCAGCAGGGGAGGCAGTGGAATTGCGCCGTAGCCACTGTTGAGCAAGCTATCTGGACCCGGCGGGGCACTTGGGCGCATCCAAACAAGCCATGGTCGCCGTAGATCTACACCAGGGGTGGGCAAATTTTTTGACTCGCGGGCCACAATGGGTTCTAAAATTTGACGGAGGGGCCGGGCCAGGAACAGATGTATGGAGTGTTTGTGTGAACTTAATATAAATGACGTGTTAAAACTCATTACATGAAAGGATTTGGCCTTTAACAGGTAGCAAAGCATTTATTTGCAAGGCAATTAAACAAATTGCACGAACATGAACAATACAAAAACATGTCGTAACTCCCAGCCAAAGTGCGCCATCTAATGGGGAAATGGGGGCATTACAGGAGAAATGGTACAATTTAATTTAATAAAAATAATATTTGGACAAGTTAAAAAGCCCAACGGGCCGTATACGGCCCGGGGGCCGTACTTTGCCCACCCCTGATCTACACCGTCACTGTGGTCGTCGCAGTAGGCTCCTTTTTAATGATGGATTATCGAGTGCTTTTGTTTTAATCAAGACACCTAAAACTAAACTAAGCATTTTGTTTAATTTTACCAGGTAAGATTTATTGAGCTATATCGCTCTTTTTTTCTCACTTGCGACTTGACCACAAATCGTAGCTCGACAAAGTGGCTTATCATCACGTGCAAATTTAAAGCAGCACAAATTGTCTAACAACGCACGTTTAATTTTTGATTTAAAGCTTTCGTGACTGCAGTAATTCATATTCTTAGCTCTTTCGGTAAAGTCACGTTGAAGGAAAACAAAAATAATATATAAAACAATCAAAATTCTCACGACGTTTCGACCATAACACAAACGGTCATCATCACACCGAAAGAGCTAAGAATGTAAACGCACGTTTGTTTCTAAATGTGGAGGGGAAAAACCGGAGGACCCCGGAGAAAAATACACCGCGACCAGCAGTAGAGAGACATCACAAACTCCAAATATACAGCAGCAGCAGCAGGCGTCAGGGTCGGGATCGAACCCACAACTTCCTGCATACCAGGCGAGGTAGTTAACATCTCCCAGCCACCGTAGCTCCCATTCCCAATGCGGGTCTAAAGCCTGCGCGATCGGTTACATGCAACTTGTTTGCATGCGACCGAGTCGCTCGTACGTGTGAGCGTCTCTGCAACCAGTTGCGAGGAGTTGAGCAAACGCAGAGACGGATTCTACTCGGCGATTTGGTTGCGCGCGCGCGCTACTGATGGATCGCCTGGGGTTACCTGGCACCACAGACAGGTAACCCCAGGTGGTTGTGTTCAGGGGCGGATCTAGAAACTTCCCACGAAGGATGATGGCAAGGGCAGGTTGATCAATTATGTTTTAATGCTATCTAAATCTTCCCCCCCCCCCCAAACACACAAATCATACACACATTTTGTCGGTGCTCCCGCTTACGGTAGTGATTGCACAAATAACTAAAACACTTCAACACGTGTGGCCTTAAAATACAGTACTGTAATATACACAAACACATCTTTCAACCCACACGGTTTAGGGGCCGTCCATAAATGACGTCACGCACCTGGGGCGAGGGGGGTCAGACATTTGTGACGAGGGGGGAGGGAGTTTAAAAAAAATGTGTTCGTCACATCAAAATGCGCAACTTTAAATAAATATAGAATTGTTATAACAACACTCCTACAACATCAGAGTGCAGCGCCATATTAAATACGCACTACAATGACAATAGTTTAAAGCGATTTGAAGCATGGTTTTATTTTCAAAATGTAAATATGGTTTTGGGGGGTGGGGGGGGGGCAGAGCTTTGTGACGTCATATTCGAGGGGTAGGGTCTGACTTTTTGTGACGCCGTGTGACGGGGGGGGGGGTCAAAAATCGCGTGACGTCATTTATGGACGGCCCCTTACCCCGTATTCTTGTACAGTTTTCATGTCCATACGGCGTACAGCCGTTTCAATAGGGACAACACAACAAATCATACCGCCAAATAAAAAAAAGTCGTGGGACAGATATATATTTTTAAATCAAGCAGCAGCATCAGCATGCAAGCTCACAGACAGTATATCATGATAAGTAGCATCATTGACACCAATTATATAAAAAAAATTAATACGTAAACAATTCTTTGTTTATATTCTTAGTTTTTTCGGTAAAGTCACGTTGAAGAGAAACAACAAAATATATATAAAACAATAAAAAATTCTCACGACGTTTCGACCATAACTCAAACGGTCATCATCAGGTGTGTTGGTTTGCATAAATTTATTTTTAAACGGCACATTTATTTATTTATAAAAAACGTTGGCGTCACGCGCAGCGATTTGGCAGTTTGCCCAGGACTAGTCCATCTATTTTTTTATTTTTTGAAAAGAGGAGGGGGGAGACGAAATTTTTTATAATGTATGCTGTCTGAAAGCCACTGTAAGCGTGAACAATCAATTAAGAACTGAAATGGTTTATCAAATCTTTCCAATGATTGCTAAGATAGAATCCATCTTCTCGGTTGAAATTGTCTCTGTGCTTGTATATGTGGATAGCCTCATGAACGAATCTCTCATGGAAGCCAGATGGCTTACAAAGAACCTCCGTCTTGGAAAAGTCAATGGCATGTGAGCCTACTGAATTAGAACAATGATCTGCTACGGCCGAGGTGTTGGTCCTACCGTGTTTAAGGTCTGCTTTATGTTCACTGTCTTATTGCACCCAACATTTGGAAGTAACAATGTCATAAAATTGCGCAAAATTCAAATATTCCTACCAGCCCACCCTGCAGGGACCTGTTTTTGTGTTGGATCGCGTAATTTTTGAATGTGTCGTGAAACTCGCTACCATCTGACAGCCAATTAAGGGTTGTCACATCGGATGGTGGCGGGTTTAAGGTCATTTACGCGATCTAACAAACACCCCCCCCCCATTCATTATAGATATTGATAGCGAAAGCCTACGTGTTAAACTGACGGTGTATATAATCGCCGACGTTCCGGGAAATGGCCCTTCTAATGTTCGTGGGAAATATCTCCAATTGTAAAAAAAAAACACCTCTCGACGTAAAAAAAAATCATCTCAATTAGTTTTAGTCCGTCAGCCACCTCTGTAGGGTCACTTTATTTAAACAGGTGGCGGATTTGGTGCGCTTATTAAAAAAAAACCCACCACAATGTTAAACTTTAAGCGCACGGTAATGTTAATAATTTACCAGAGGGTGGGCCGCATCTTTAGCCAAACTGCCCCAAATTGGGGGGGGGGGGGGGGGGGGAGAGAGAGACTTTGAAGACCAATAACATCCAGAAAGCCCCTCTAGAACAAACAACGGCTGAGAGTGGGGGGCACAATGAGTTAATATCATCTGCACGGCTGGACCCGACCAACCCTTTGCAGCCAATAGAGGCCGCTAGCGTTCGACATAAAATCAATGGCAATTGAAATCAAGCCTCACCACCCCCCCCCCCCCCCATAGATAAAGAACAGACTGTAGGGGCAAGTGCTGTTAGCGAGCACCTATGAAGGCTGCCGGCACTGTGGCACACGAGGGGGTGGGTGGTCAGCACCACGCCCGGTCGCCTTTGTCTCCCCCAGTACCGATGTTTACTCACCGCACCCGGTGCTCATTTGAGGCCGAGTCGACCTAGAGGAGGAGGAGGCCCAGGACCGGTTGAGAGATGATCATCGCTGGTGTTGAGCCGTGAGCGCGATGATTCGAACTCGGTTCGCTGGGTTCGTAGCGCAGCGTTGCGTTAACCGCTGCACCACCGCTCCCTCCTCCCATCACCATCATCCCCACCACCACCTCCCCCCTCCTCAACTCGCTACGTGTGAGAAAAAAAGAAAGTCAACTCTTTAAGGGGGAAATGGGCGGAGATCCTCAACTCCCTCCTCCTCCTCCTCGTCGCCGCTCGCTCCCTCCCTCCCTCCACTCTCTCAGCCACACACAAAAGCTGCCGCCACCGCCACCACCTCCATCACCACCGCTGCTGCTTCCATCACCACCACCACCTCCTCCATCACCACCACCACCTCCACCATCACCACCACCTCCATCACCACCACCTCCACCATCACCACCACCACCACCTCCACCACGGCCGTCGCCAAACAACCGCCTGCTTTGTGGCGAGGCCGTGCCGGCTTCATCAACGCTCGCTCGCCGCTGTGCTGAGAAAGGCGACCGTAGGCTAGTGGGGGGGGAGAGATCGAGAGAGGAGAAGGAGGAGAGAGACACGCGCACACGAAGTGCTCCTGGAGGAGGAGGAGAGAGACACGCGAACACGAAGTGCTCCTGGAGGTTAACGGGCAAAGTGGATCGACTATAAAGCGTGGGGAGATTGGGGGGGGGGGAGATTGGGGGGGGGGGGGGAGTCCCAGCGGCCTCTTGCCTCGCTTTGCCTTGCACCCCCCCCCCCCACTCCTCATCGTTCAGAGGGGTTGAGAGGAGGTTCAGGGGGAGCCCCCTGCAATGGACGAGCTGCGGCACGGCCAGGCGGCGCGGGACTTCATGGACGGCGCTCTCGTGTCGTGGGTACGTCGCTGATGCTGCTGCCCACTGCTGCTCCTGCTGCCCCCTGCCGCTGCCTGCTGCCCCCCTGCTGCTGCTCCTACTGCTGCCCCCTGCTGCTCCTGCTGCTCCCTGCTGCTGCTCCTGCTCCCTGCTGCTCCCTGCTGCTGCTCCTGCTGCCCCCTGCTGTTCCCTGCTGCTGCCCCCTGCTGCTGCTCCTACTGCTGCCCCCTGCTGCTGCTCCCTGCTGCTGCTGCTGCTGTCCCCTGCTGCTGGTCCTGCTCCCTGCTGCTGCTGCTCCTGCTGCCCCCTGCTGCTGCTGCTCCTGCTGCTGCTCCCTGCTGCTTTGTGCGGTGCGGTTCCAACGGCGTCCTCCGTGCATTGTGTCACCTGAGACTGGCCATGGATGGCGCGGTGGCAGGAGGGCTTCGCTGAGTGTTTAAACTTTAAACGAATCGCTTGTTGCTAAAGCTGCTTCGCTTCTTCTTCCTGTTGCGGACCCGCGAGGGAGTTCGCCCAGAGTTGTCCTCGAATGCTGTGGCTTTAAACCGACGTTTCGGCCTCGACTCTGCCGCCGCTGTTGTTGCTGTTATTGTTGCTGCTGTTGTTGCTGTTATTGTTGCTGCTGATTCCCTCCGTCTCCTACCCCCCTCCCCCACACCGGGTCTTGTTCGTGTGTATCACTAAGTAATAATGACAACACGTCCCAACCTCTGTGTCTGTGGGTAGTTGCAGCGGTTAGCGCTGCGGACCCTGGCGACCCCAGTTCGATTCCCGCTCACGGCCAGCACCGCCGGTGGCGATTATCTCTGAACCGGTCCTGGGCATGCTCCAGGTCGACTCAGCCTCAAATGAGTATCTGGTGCGGTGTGTAGTAAACCTCGCCAGTGGGGGAGACAAAGGCGGCCGGGCGTGATGTTGGGGCACCCCATCGCCCGTGTGCCACAGTGCCGGTAGCCTTCACAGGTGCTGCTCGCTAACAGCACTTGCCCCAACAGTCTGTTACAGGCTACACGGGGGATCTTTGTCTTTGTGTGGTACTGCATGTTCGTGTAGGTCTGTGTGCGTATGTTAGGGGTTGTCCATAAATGACGTCACGCACCTAGGGGGGGGGGGGTGGTCAGACATTTGTGACGATGTGTGACGAGGGGGGGGGGGGGAATGTGACGTCACATCAAAACGCGCAACTTTAAATAAATATAGACAACACGTTCTACTTAAATAAATATACTTTTTAATAAATGTTTTCTCCTACAACATCAGAGTGCAGCGCCACATTAAATACGCACTACAATGACAATAGTTTAAAGCGATTTGAAGCATGTTTTGTATATATATTTTGGGGGGGCAGAGCTTTGTGACGTCATATTTGATGGGGGTTTTACTTTTTGTGACGAAGGGGGGGGGTCAAAAATAGTCCAAAATGGCGTGACGTCATTTATGGACGGCCCCTTATGCGTGTATCTGCGTGCCCTTTGTGGGGGGGGGGGGGGGGTTTTCCCCCCTCATCTGGGTTCGTATGCGTGGAAGATGAAACGGGTGTCTGTGACCGCTATTTCCCCCCGCTCTGTGTTTTGGTGTGTTTGTTGTAAGTAAATGTTGCTCTGTACCCGGGCAAAAGTCTTGGCGTTGCATGAAAGCGATGGCTGCAGCACGTGGAAGAAGTCGAACATCAAACGTTCAACACGTGCCCCGACATACTTGTCGTCAACCCCCTTTGTCAGTGCCCTTACCTTATTCCAGACCCAATTCAGGCCTTATTGGTCACCCCGTTGCCCTTATAAATCTCAACGTTCATCCTACAAAGTCCCATCACAAGCGGAGATGCACAAACAAATTGACAGTCACCACTACTACACTCACCACTACTACACTCGCCACTATACTCACCACTACATACCTGTAAATCCCTTATCAGTGCCCCTACCTTGTTACAGACCCAACTCAGACCTTATTGGTCACCCCGTTGCCCTTAATAACCTCAACGTTCATCCTACAAAGTCCTATCATAAGGGGAGATACACAATTTTTTTTTACAAAAAAAGGTGTTTTGCCCGTATTGAAAAAACTCAATTTCTTTGCTGTTAAAAGAATACGGGGTGAACCGTGTGGTTTCACAGGTATGCAATAATAATAAACACCACTGTGTGGTCTTAGAAAGAAAGTAATGTACAATAGGTGACGTTTCGAGCAACGGTCCTTGGGAGCACATACATTGAGACGTCAGAGAGATGAGAAGAAGTGGATAATACGAGTTGGAGACTTCACGTGTTCACACCATGGATCCTGATGAGGATTACATTTTTGTTTTAATGTTTCCTGATGGGACAGCGCATCAATTGAATACTGCACCTCAGTAAACGTTGGACCAACGTTGATCCAACGATTCCAACCACATGCCCAACATCGCCCCAACGTTAGCATGTGGTTTTGGAACCGTTGGACCAGGGGTATTGATGATTTAACATATATATTTTCATTGTACAATATAAAAAAATGTTCACGTTACACCGTACTTATTACTCCGATGTATATTTGCTTAATTCATGCGTGTCATTTATTTGGTTGGCTTTTGTCGTTTCGGTGAGGCAGTGTCAACCATGGCAACATGATACTCTCTTGGTCTTCTTTGATTTGTCACGTGGTTAAGCAGAATTAGCTTGACAGTTAAAAGTTTCATCATGTCCACTGCTCGCTGACCAGCATGGTGCAGTATAGCCGAATCACCCCCTCCCCATAACCCACACGGCGTGTTGAAGTCTTCCTCCTGCCGTGCATTAAGTTTGCTCGTTTTTTTCCGCTGCCTTGTCCACGCTTGGGAATTTGGTTCACTTGTGCAATTTGAACCGATTTACTTGATCTATTTTAGATATCTTTAGTGACTTGCTTACCACTTTCTATATTTTGTATTGGTGTAACTTTATGACTGGACATCTGTTAACAAAGAGCTTCATAGCTCATGGGATTCCTCCTGCAGCCTAAATAAAGATTATGATTCATGCTGCCTGGGGAAGCCGTTATGCAGCAGAACATGAAGTTAATGTATTGTTTTATCCGTAATAGAGGTTTTTTGGGTTAGATCGTGTAAATATATAAATGTATCGTTAAACCGACACCACACCGACACAGCCAATTAGTAATGTTTGTCACGTAAACAAATAGTGCCAATTCGTTACTAGTTCAGCACACCGGTGTGTTGGAGAGCAAACCCACAAAATGTACAATTCGAATACAACGTTTCGCCGGTAATTACAACCAGCATCATCAGGCAACGGCTAGTCCCAAACGCACCGGTGTGCTGTGCTAGTAACGATTTGGCACGTTTTGTTCACGTGACAATCATTACTAATTGGCCGTGTCGGGTGGTGGCGGGTTTAACGACACACATTCACGGGATCTCACCCCAAAAAAAAAACCCCTTGTGGATAATATTGGTGGCGAAAGTCCCCGTGTAAAATGTACATTGTTTTGTATTATAGGTAAAGACACTGTGCACTCCAGAGGAAAGAGGAGGGGACGGGGATATCAGATACAATGACCTTGCTGACGGTGCCCTTTTGCTGGACATCATGCGGAAAATGTAAGTCGCCTTCCATCATCATCACGTTTGTAAACACTGGCGGAGCCAGTGGGAGGTGGGGTGGCACGTGCCCCCCCAATGATCCGATCGAAATCCCTAATTTCGAAATCCCTCATTTCAATCGGATCATTGGGGTTTATTAGTAATAAATCGGCATTTTACGACCCCCACTGCCACTGTGTGTAGCATATTATTACGTGCCGGGGACTCTATGAGATGATAGGACAATAGTCCGAGTCCATAATTGGCAATAAGTAACGGCAAAGCGGTTATAAGCGACTCAAAGAATTGTGCGCAGATGCGTATACAGAGTCCACGACTTCCCTGAAGGCATCGACACCTTCAGCGAGCGCGATGATGCCGATCACACAACGCGGTTCGCAATTCGACCCCTCGATCGATGGCTGCGCCATCGCCGCACACGCGTCAGATAAAAATCAAGGGACAAGTCCTTGCTTGCTAACAGCAATCCTGGCTTACTAACAACAATCCTGGCTTACTAACAACAATCCTGGCTTACTAACAACAATCCTGGCTTACTAACAACAATCCTGGCTTACTAACAACAATCCTGGCTCCGCCATTCTTTGTAAAGGTGCAACTTAGCTCCCATTCGCATCGACTCTCACGCTCGCGGCACGTGCGTTGTTGGGTCGTGCATGTCAGAACGGGGTTCGCCTAACCCCTCCCCGCCATTCGCTGCAGTGTTAAAAATATGTTTGTCCTTTAATTGTGATGCCCCCCCCCCCCCCGCCAACATTTACAACGTTTTATTGAATGGCCAGGCGTGGGGGTGAATTGTTCCAATATCTGACCATCGTTATCCTAATCCTCTCCAGCTCTAGCTCTGTGTATTCATCAACAGTGAGATTGGTACTGCTTAAGGAAGCAACATCTGTAGTTGTCCTGATTCTTTTATACGGCCAATGAGAGTGCACTGCTCCATAACCCCACTCAATTCAAATGGTTCCATGGTTCACTGTTGTTGGTCACGCAAACAAAAAATTTGAACCACTCCAGTGATATCACCTTGAGCGGTACCGACAGCTGAAATGTCTGCTCTGAGCTAGTGGACTATGAGCTCCTTCCCATGGTCACCAACCTCTCTGTGCCACTGCAACACTTGGTCGGCCTGTGCTCCGCTATCTTGAAGACGTGTCGCATCCACCGCAAGCTCCTGCTGATTATGTCTGCAATGTCGCCGTTTTGACGTATCCTATTCCCGTATTACAAGTTGATAACACAACGGGCCATGAAATTCCTGGGATCCGTGCGTGTGCCAACAACACTCGTATGGCAGAAAATTAATTGCACGGTTGATTTTGTTGAATTCATAGCTCGCTGATCCAGATAATAACGCAGACAATGCTGCTCTTGTCCAAACAACACATTTCCTAATGCTCACGTTGACCTCTGTAACTCTTCTAGACTACTAAGTCAATCAAAAACTTGCCTTGCACTAAATACGACCTTTGACCTGCTCCTAGCGACACCTGCGTTATTCACATGACTCATTGGATAAATAAAGTCCCCCTTCAGCCTTCTGAATCTTTACTTGCCAGCAAAGATGCGTGGAACCCTTTCCCAACCACTGATGCCATCTTAACGAATGGAAAGTTCATCAGTATCCAGCCCCAGTGCCGAAAAACGTCAAAAGCTGCGAAGTGCCAGCTAAGGTCCGAGCGAACAAACTTGCGGTGTTTGGAAACAAATAAAAGTTCTGTGATTCCGCGTTGGCATTGGGTGCACAAGCACAAACAACAAAAACCCTTCCGTTTCGGTCTGTGATTCCGCGTTGGCATTGGGTGCACAAGCACAAACAACAAAAACCTTCCGTTTCGGTCTGCGATTACGCGTTGGCATTGGGTGCACAAGCACAAACAACAAAAACCCTTCCGTTTCGGGCAATGGGCCCGTCAATCTCTCTGCCGTGATGAAGGGCCATTGCCAGAAACGTCACCCGTTATGTAATCGTTGCTCCATTTGTGGGGCAGTGTTATTGATGAATGTGCTGAGTTTTTGTATCGTTCAGAGGTGGTGGTGGGGAGGGGGGGCTGAGGATTCGGAGAACTGAGCCAGCACCGCTGAGATCCTGGGTTCGATTCTGTGCAGTCGTTAGTGACTACACTAATGACTGCACAAATTAAACCTTGAAATTAAAGTTGGGTTTCCACTTCAATTGGTTGTTTCACTGAAATTGCCTCAGTTCCAGCTGTAAGAATCTATAAATATCATTTTGCACCAGCATGTGATGAACATTCTCTGTAACAAGGCGTGTGGGAAAGTGTCCCGTGTGTGTGTGGATTAAAACAAGGCCACTTAGTAGCAGTTCTGTGATATCCACGTCCACGGGCCGTTCTCTAACACACGTGACGACGCACTGCTCTGCCGGAATTTCTGAATGGACATTTTGTTCGTACGGCATGATGCCAGTAACAGAGTCCCAACTGTATCTCATTTGATTTCTGCCAATTCTGCTTTCAATTCAACGAGGTTTGGTTAGCCAGACAGTGTGTGTTGTACGTAGCGACGTTCAAATCCACACAATGTCCACTTCGTGCCCAGTGAGTCTTGGTTTCCCCTGTTCTCTCCATCCCTTGTGCATTGCGCACCAGCTTGCGGTGTGTGAAAATGTACACATGATACAAGCCCGAGTGATGTTTATGAGACTTTTTTTTACTCTCTCATTCTGTGTCCCGTGCTATAATTTCGGCACCGCATACTTGACCGTTTATAAAACTAGAAGGAATAGATATAGTTTAACCTGCTTGTGCCAGCTGTGCTTATATTCGTAGTGTGCTTGTATCAGAAGTTGCCCTTCACCTTGCTGCCACCAGTGTGTCATGTCAGCATGCGTTACCGTATATCAGAGCTGTCTTTATAAACGGCATCCGCTGTTATTTTATTTGAAGCGTTTTAACATTATACCTTTTTTATTGATTTGTATTAAAACAAAAAAAATGCATTACTATCCCTTTTTCATTTAACACGTCCGCTGGGGAGATGGAGCAATTAAATCGGTTCCATTTCAGGTACTAGGTGGATTGATACGTCACAATAGCTTGAGAGGTGGCAGCGATGGCAGCTCGCGGAGGCATTCATCCAGCAGTGGATTGAACATGGCTGATTATGAGCCGTTCGTTTTTAAGCCCTTGTTTTTACACGGTGGATTTTTTTTTGCACAATTTGCTTTGCTGTTCCCCCCGGGAACCCACCTCTCCCCCCTCCCCCCCTTGTAAAACCTCTCCCTAAAGAGCATTCCTGGCAAAGAGACAAAGATCCCCCGTATAGCCTGCAACAGACGTTTGTGGCAAATGCTGTTCGCAAGTAGCACCTAATGAAGGCCTGCATGGCACAACAACATGGCTGATGAGAAGTTGGCCAGCACCACGCCCCGATTGCCTTTGTCCCCCCAGTGCTGATGTGTGCACACTACACTACCAACTCTGTTAGGGCTGAGTCGACCTAGGGGAGTCCCAGGACCTATTCAATTGTTTACCACTGGCTTTGGTCGGGTGAGCAGGGTTTTCGAACTCGGGTCGCCAGGTTCGTAGCACGGTGTGCTAACCACTGTGCCACTGCTACCCTACGCACGTGCACACATGCCTGCCCCAACACCTACATCCCACATTCCTGCCCCAACACCTACATCCCACATGCCTGCCCCAACACCTACATCCCACACGCCCTGCCCCCACCTCTCAGCGTGGTCGGTGGGCAACACAATGAGTAGGAGTGGTAGCTTAAAAACGAGGCCTTTAGGTTTATGGGTCGCAAATGGCTTTTATGGCTCTCGGAAGGCTTTACGTTTCAAACTTGGAACCTAGGGTTTTACAGCCTGCACTATTATTCTGTTATGATGGGGGGGGGGGGGGGGGGGGTGGTTTCTCATCATGTACAGATTCGATCATCATAATAAATCTGCGTGCAGAATATCGACAAATGGTCACGTCATCTTCACATGCAAAGAAGTATGCTGGGATGGCCGTTTTGATGCTTGGCGATCCTGACACAGCGGTGCGTAACGGTTGGCACATTGGACTTGGCAATTCAGAGAGCGCCAGTTCAATTCCCATCTTCCGGCTCTCCCACCCTGCAGTATTAAAAGCGGGCACTCCAATCACCCGGCAGGTCGCCTGTGGGGGGATAAAGTGTGGGAACCCCCACCTCTTCCAAGGCTATCCCTTTATTTTATTTTTTACTAGCTTTACTACCCGGCTTCGCCCGAGACTTGGATTCTTGCCTTGGATTAATACACGGCCTACGCGGAAGGTGGGAGGGGGGACGTCAGCAGGCACACTGCGTGACGCTGCCGCATGCGGGTGACATCACAGATGTGACGTCACCGCTCACTTTCCGTGCAAAATATATCCATTATTGCGCCCCCCCCACCCCCAAAAAACAAAAGTCTATTTTTATACGTTTTGCATTGTGTCCAGTCTGGAAGCTACCCGCATGCCAAATTTCAAGTTTGTTGCATGTCGGGAAGTATGCTAAACATTTTGATTTAAAGCTTTCGTGACTGCAGTAATTCATATTCTTAGTTTTTTCGGTAAAGTCACGTTGAAGAGAAACAACAAAATAACACACCTGATGATGACCGTTTGAGTTATGGTCGAAACGTCGTGAGAATTTTTTATTGTTTTATATATATTTTGTTATTTTGTTGTTTCTCTTCAACGTGACTTTACCGAAAAAACTAAGAATATGCTAAACATTTCAAACAGTCACACATTCACAAATTTCATTTTTATATATATAGATTTCAGACGTCCGTCCAGCATGGAAGAATCGACAAAATACAATCCAGCTGGGCTCTCTCGGAGCCCCCCTTTAGCAGAGGAGGCCCTTCTGCTAGCAGTGGCATGAGCAAGCAATTTCACAACTGAACCTTTAACTTTAATTGCATGTGTGTGTATGTGTAGTATTATTCTCTTCTTTCATGTCTGCACACACCTTTCTGTTCCGACGACTTAGTTTCTCATCGTTTAATAACAACAGCAAGCGTTACATGTGCTGCGTGTGCCGTGTGCGTGTAGGTGCTCCCTAACAGCACTTGCCCCAACAGTCTGTTAAGGCGACACGGGGGAATCTTTGTCTTTGTGCTCCCGATTTCCAGCGAGCCCAGGAAGGTAGAGAGCAAGAGGCAACGAGTCGAGGGCAGCGGGCACAGCTGGAGCGAGAGGCTCGTGATTCTATCCTCCGTGCTGCAACACATCTGTGCATGTTACCAGGTGAGTGCTGCCCCCTTACATCTCGGTCATCTCAGTCAGTCGACCCCGTGGCACCTGCTGGGTCTGCCCCGTGACCTCCTGCCAGCGGGCGGTTCGACACTTCACGTGGCCTCAAGGTGCACATGGCCTGGCACAAGCGTCGTGGTGACCTCACCGCCACTTAGTGGCGAATGGCGGTTGTTGCTGGCCCCTTACCTTGAGCACCACCCGCTCCTCCCTCCTCCTCCTCCTCCTCCCCGTGCACTCCAAGCCAGGCAAGTGTACCATTGGCAGCAGCCACAGATGCTCCCACGAGTGGAATAAATTACAAGGTTGTGCCTGTTGTCATGGCGACAGCTGTGCGTGTTATCATCATCATCATCGTCGTCGTCGGCAAGTTACCGTAGATAAATTAAGCGTCATATTTTCCACCCAATTTTTGTTGTGTGTGTGTGTGTGTGCCGTGTGCCGTGTGCTTGTCCTTTGTACAAAAAAAAACCCATAATCGACATTGTAAGCCCATGGTCGTTCCGCTGCTGGATGGAAGCTTCCCCAAGCCGGGACCACCTCTCGCAATCCTGCGATGTAACGATTCATGCAGCCCCTGCACCACACGAAGTGGTTTTCGTCCGTTCCATCTCCCCCCGGTGGACGTCCACCCCGGATGCGTTCCATTCCTTGGCCGCCCCGCTCCATTGTAATTCTCAGTGACGGCGTCCAAACTATTAACGTACTTACGTACTTGATTCGAAGCTTTCGTGACTGCAGGAATCCATACTCTGTCTGGTTCTTTCGGTCAAGTCACGTGGGTAGAAAATAAAATAAGAAAAGAAAAGCACGACGTTTCGGTCGCTTGTGTTGCGACCGAAACGTCGTGACTCTACCGAAAGAACCAGAGGGTATGTATGTACTTATGTACGTTGAACTTCTTTCGCGCCGTACGTAGCCAACCGTGCTGATTGGAGGTTGCGATGAAAGTTAAGTGGGCTTGGGCGCGATGCGTCGCCAGGAGGAGGGATGATGAACGATGGTCAGGGGCGACGCTGTTATTTACACGTTTGAACAAATCATTTGGTGATGACGCCGCTGCTGTGTTAGCAGTGGTGTACTCAAGCACAATTCACGATTTTTTTTTTAAAAACAACCACCAAATAAGCTGTCAACCCATACGGTTTGCTCGTATTCTTGGGCAGGGAAATTGAGTTTTCAGGTCCATAAGGCGTACGGTCAACATTTTTTGTCTATTTGTGTTTCTCCCTTGTGATGAGACTTTTCAGGATGAACGTTGAGATTTATAAGGGGCACGGGGTGACCAATAAGGTCTGAATTGGTCTGTTTTAAGGTAGGGCACTGATAAGGGGTTGACAGGTATATGGCTCTTTAACACTGCGCACCTAAAAGGAAATCTAACGGGCGATATTTTTCGCCAATGGCCCTTCTTCATGTATATAATTATTCACATATAATATGGTGCATTGTGTATGCAGGGTGATCCGATCATAGAAACCCCGCTAACCAAATCAGGAATAATAATCGAGAAATTTCTGCACGTCTCCCTCCCAGCAATCTCCATACCATTACACACATGGGGGTGGGGGGGGGGGCAGTAACCTACAGAACCCCCCCCCCCCAGATGGTATTTGGCCTGCTCTTTCACAACCGGCGACCTAGAGAGCCGCCCCCTCTAGGGGGAGGGCATGTGGCCCACTTTTCAACACTGCGTGTGCTGAATTTGCATAAATAAATACGGTGGTGGTGGTGGTGGCGGTGGCGGGGGAGGAGAGTACTCGTGATGAGACTTTTCAACAGAGCCGGGTCAATCCATGCGCATTCCCGGAACGGCCCGAATTACAATGAACTAATTCCGCAGCTGTGCCGTCCGTTAAAATACCTCCGCGTATCTGGGGCGGTGGGGGGGGTGCCGTAATTTTTGGAGGAGAGCCGGCTGCCATCGTGTTTGAGCCACCTGTCGAAGCATAGAGTACCCTTAATCCCCGTGGCCACCAGCCGCTCCTCCCCACCCCCCACCGCTCCATCGCTCCCCCCCTACCCAGCTCCATCTCTGCTCCGCGCCCATAAATAGAACGCTCTGGGTGGGGTCCTCTATGGTTTCCACCGAGTTGTTTGAGCCGCACGCACGCGCACCGGTGTTGATCGTGGCTGTGAGTGGCGAGCCTCGGTGAGTGCCGGGAGTAAAGTTCGCTGGAGTGTCGCGGAACGCGCGTGCGTGCGTGTGTGTGCGCATGTGTGCGTGTGTGTGCTTGTGCGCGCCCTCCTTTGTTGCCAAGGCAATGCTGATAGCTCTCTGCCTTTAACCACCGCCGCCGAAGTTGCTCAAGCGAGGTTTTTTTTTCCCTCTTCCAACAGGGTTAAGACTAGGGTACTGTACCATAATATACGGTCTAGATTTGAAGTTTTAGTTGACTGCAAGGATCCATATACTCTTTGGTTCTTTCGGTAAAGTCACGTAGGTGAAAACAAAAAAATAGTAATAAAATAAGAATATTTTTTTTGTTGTTTTCATTTTTGTTTTATTTTATAAAAATTTGTATTTATTTTTTACCTACGTGACTTTACCTGAAAGAACCAAAGATTATGTTCGGTCTGTTTGTGTGTGTGTGTGTGTCTATGTGCTCACGGTAGTGTAGCGGCTAGCGCCCCGCGCTGCGATCCTGGCGACCCGGGTTCGATTCCCGCTCAACGCTGACCTGGTCCTGGGCCTCCCCTAGGTCGACTCAGCCTCAAATGAGTACCTGGTGCGATGTGGAAACATCGTCACTGGGGAGACAAAGGCGGCCGGGCGTGGTGCTGGCCACCCACCCCCTTCATGTGTCGTGCCAGCCTTCATAGGTGCTGCTCGATAACAGCACTTGCCCCAACAGTATGTGAAGACCATATGGGGGATCTTTGTATTTGTCATTACGAGTAAGATCAAAACCTGACACGGTGACCCACAATGATCCACAGTGGCCAACATTAGGCCACTTCGACCCATATTAGCTTGCTCTGACACAGCAATTCAACATTAGGCCAATGACCAACATTAGGGCACAGTGACCCACGTTCGGTCACAGTGACCTACAATAGGTCACAGACCCACAGGCCCCATTAGGCCACAGTGACCCACGTTAGGCCACGTTAAACCACAGTGACCCATGTTAGGCCACGTTAAACCACAGTGACTCACAGGCCCCATTAGGCCACAGTGATCCACGTTAGGCCACGTTAAACCACAGTGACCCACGTTAGGCCACGTTAAACCACAGTGACTCACAGGCCCCATTAGGCTACAGTGATCCACGTTAGGCCACGTTAAACCACAGTGACTCGCAGGCCCCATTAAGCCACAGTGACCCACGTTAGGCCACGTTAAACCACAGTGACCCACGTTAGGCCATGTTAAACCACAGTGACCCACGTTAGGCCCCATTAGGCCACAGTGACCCACGTTAGGCCATATTGACCTACATTAGGCCATATTAGGCCGCAGTAACCTACATAAGCCAAAGCGACCCATATTAGGCTACATTAGGCCACAGTGACCCATATTAGGCTACATTAGGCCAAAGTTAACCATATTAGGCCACAGTGACCCATATTAGGCCACAGTTAGACCACACATTAGACTCATCCTCAAATGAGTACGTGGTACAGTGTCTAAGCATCGCCACTGGGGAGACAAAGGCGGCTAGGCGTGGTGCTGGCCACCCACCCCCTCGTGTGCCATGCCAGCCATCGTAAGTGCTACTCGCTAACATCACTTACCCCAACAGTCTGTTAAGGCTATACGGGGGGGTCTTTGTCTTTGTGCTGGCTAACAGCGCTTGTTCAAACAGCCTGAAAAGGCTGTGCCAGTACTGGGCATCTCCGTATGTGTTTATGGTATAGAAGGGCTATTTCACACAAGGGCCTCCTCGAGGGAGTCTTGGAGAGCCCCTCTAGAGCATATTTGGCTTCTCCTACTATCCTGGCTAAACAGTTTTAGCCGTGGTTGGGAGTATCCACACTTTACCCCACTGCACGTGACCTTCCGATTAACTGTGGTGTGCACACATTGGTGGTGCCCACACGGACGGATGTGATCAGTGGGGGTTGGGGGGAAGAATTTAATGAAAACTGTCATCGTTATTTCAGCTGCCGTTCTGGGAAATCAAATCGAACGGGGGCAGCCTCTGGGTTACAAGTCCAGTGGGCCAACCACTGCCCCACGGTGGGATCCTGCATCCACACCACCGTATTTAACAGCGCCACGGTGGCTAGGAGATGTTAACTACCTCGCCTGCTATACAGGAGGTCGTGGGTTCGATCCTGACACTGACGCCTGCTGCTGTATATTTGAAGTTTGCATGTTCTCCGCGTGGCCGCGTGGATTTTTCTCCCGGGTCCTCCGGTTTTCCCCTCCATATTTAGAAACGTGCGTTTAGAGTATTTGGCTGCTTTAAATTTCCATGATAAGTGAGGCACTTTTTTGAGCTATCATTTGTGACCAGGTCGCTTCTGAAAAAAAGCTACATAGCTCTGTGGGCCTTACCTAGTAAAATAGAAATAGTTTAGTTTAACAGGGCAGTGCGTGCGTGTTACACACAGCGATGAATTGGGCAATTTTGTCATGCATCGCACTCACCTGCCATGCGTGAACATTTATATATATGTGTGGTAAAAGCCTCAGTGTTGCTTGTGGTATTTTTTTGCGATTTTGTGACGCTCGCGATCTGCGTCCCATGCTGGAATTCTGGAATTCTGGCACCACAGACTTGGCCATATATAAACCAGAAGGAAGCCCGTTGAGATTTAGTGGCACTTCGGCATCTTCTCACATCCCCTCCCCACCCTCCCCCCCCCCCACCGGGAGTGCTCCCCCACCCCCAAAGACAAAGACCCCCCGTATAGCCTGAACAGACTGTAGGGGCAAGTGCTGTTAGCGAACACCTATGAAGGCCGACACGGCGCACGAGGGGGTGGGTAGCCAACACCACGCCCGGCCGCCTTTGTCTCCCCAGTGGCGACGTTTACGCACTGCA